CCTTACAATCAAATATTCCACAAAGATGGCATGAGCACAACAATAAGTTTCAAGAAAAATTAAGTATGGTACCGACAAATATTGAAAAAAAAAAGATTTTTCCAAACAAATATGGTTCTTCTCCCAGCCATTTTTCTCATCCCTCAAGCTAATATATTTGAAATGCCTTAGTTTAATTTCAACAGCCGTGAAAAATCGAAAATTTGAACACGAATTATACTCGAAATGTCTTAAGAATCGAAAATCTGATCGTGAATTATACTCGAAATTTCTCAAGAATCGAAATCCTGATCATGAATTATACTCAAAATCTCCTAATTCAATACCAAAAGCAGCGAGCCTGACCATAAATCTTGGCTGAAATGCCCTAACTCAATCCCAACAGTCCTGGAAAACCAAATACTTGAAATAACCAATCCCACAAGCTAGATTTCGTCGCTTTCAAACAGCAATGCTTTAAATATTCGCTCTCTTTTAGCACAAAATTCGCCGGTTTCAAACAGTATCGACTTCTCTTAAGTGTTATGGTAAGAGAATAATTCAGCACAAGTCACTTCTGCTAATAAAAAACACTATTTCTAATCAATTCAGAAAAAAGTGGACATTTCCATTTGAATCTTTTGCAAATGGTATTTAATTTAGACAATCTTGTGCTTTTTTTTTCAGAAAAAAAGTGGACTTTTTCATTTTCTATTGGAATCCACTGAATCTTTTACAGTGATAGTTCATTTTTTTTTTTTTTACAAAATCTGATGTGTCCCTAAAATAAGCATTAGGAGGGTGGATTTCAATAAGCAGATTACTGGATTAAATGTTTACACAGCAACAAACACAATTTAGCACAAGGAAGAATAATAGACACACAACGCACACACACACACACAAACACACAATGCACAAAACACACACACATATTAAAAAGCATAATCAGTATATGGCAGACAAAAAAATTTTTCACATTATTATCATATCAGTTCCATTTTTTTTCGCAAGAAATAACACTGACAAGGAACAAATGAGTATTATGACATGCTAATGACAATGATTCGAGCAAAAAAAACAAGAGTAAAAAGGCATCGATCAATCCATAAAATGGCCAAAAAATACGGAAGTGACCACTAGGGTCCTGATTAATGGTCCACCACTGACCATTGTCCACCCGAGGACAGCACTGCGCACATCGAGATCGTCACAATATGTGTTTTTGCATTTGCATGTATATGCAAAAAACGCATAAAAACATGCACAGTCAAGGAATTTCACGAGAAAAACCCCCCTGGACTTGCACAGCAGAAAAGAAATAATTAGCTCAGGGTCAGAATCGTAATTCCAGCGGACAGAAATAGGAAAAGCAAAAAATACGAACTAAAATTTTCACGAAATTCTCTACAAAGAATTCATGGAGATAATGCTACCAGTGTAATGTCTTGTCAAAATCCCTCCTCAGAATCCCGTGCGCCGCCGATCATTCTACATTGGTACATGTGAGAAAAGATACGAAACTGATTCTCCGTTGTGTGTACGTCGAATTGCTTCGGCCAGAATCATTGAAATATCGATGCACTGAAAAGCATAAATGGCAAAAAGAAAAATAATTTAGCCAAAATGTCACTGAACACCTATTTGCTGCCAAAAAAATGAAATACCATAAATTGTTTTTTCTTTTCTTGCTAATAGCACTTTCTTTTGTTAAAAAAAGAAAAACCTAAAAAAAAGTCGCAAAAAAATTTCGATACTAAAAAATCGATATTTCTTCCGTATTTTTAGACTTCGTGAGGGCTTGAAAAAATCAAAAAAATGAAAAAGTCGAAAAAAAATTTCGATGCTGAAAAGTCGTTATTTCTTCCGTATTTTTAGACTTCATGAGGGCTTGAAAAAATCAAAAAAAAGTCAAAAAAAAAAAATTTCAACGCTGAAAAATCGTTATTTGTTCCGCATTTTTAGACTCCACGAGAGTTTTTGAGACAACCTGTAGCGCCTCCTAAAGTTTCTCTATGCCGAGAGCAATTTATCAGGCCGTCGATGGTTCTCTGCACCAGGCTTGTGTAAGGCAAAAATCGTTCAACTCCGAGTCTCTTAGGGAAACAGCTACCAAATGACAAGCAGCACTGCTCCTATGCTTCCAGTCGAGGATTAGACTCTACCAGTACGGCAACTAAGCCCTCTACGGTTCGTTTATTCGTTTTGCTCATAAATTGGTCCTGGCATTTGGTATCAAATTACGAGGTCCAGTTGTGGTAAAGGCAAGAAATGTATACAACCTGATGGACTGAAACACTTCTTACTAACTACAATAATCTCACGAATTTCCTAATTTTCATTTCATACCTTATTTTTGCTTTTTTCTCTTTATTTTCCTCCTTCCTATCATAGCTTTATACTAAAGCCGCCATTAGTTTGTTCTTTTAACAAACATCGGAGAGTGGGGACATCGCCAATCTTGTTAGGTGTTTGTTACTGGAACATACTAGAACTGCAGCTACTAACAACTAGCTAAATCTGTCCTAAAAATGAATAAAACCTCTCATCAATATGCGTTTTCTGCATTGCATAGCTGCAAAAAATGCTTAAAAACGAATCAGGCAGAGTTTAAATTTTAAATTTTGACAAGTTTTTCAAATTGACAGATTCGAAATAGTGGCTAAATATAAAAATAAGCATCACATCCTAAAAATAAGCCGATGAATAAAATACTATAAAAACTGAATTGAAACTAGAATTAAAGTAGTATAAAAAGAAAATGAATAAGATAAGAAAAGGGGCAGAGGGAGATAGGGCAAAGAAAACATTAAAAAAAAAAGAAATACGAATGAAATACCTGGATTTTGGGGCATTTTTTCATATTTTCTTCCTGGGGTATTGTATTCGTCACGACCACTGCTTCGAATACCGAACTATTTAGCCTCTGCAGTGCAGGTCCCGAGAAGATACCATGCACGCAAAAGGCATATACTGCACTTGCACCCGCTTCCACCAATCTGGATAAATTCATATAAAAGCATACTGGACATAAATATACATCGGAAAGTGTAGCAAGGTACAGCGACAAGAGAAAAGAGCAATGGAACAGTCGACTATGTTTATTTGATATTCTGCGAAGAAGCCAAACTATACAACTTCATTTAAGCTAGCCGGTATTTGCATTGCACGACGTCTGTGTTTCATCCCTGAACTGTGAACAAAGACGACTAAAATGGTGCAAAACGAGGTGGGAATCATCAATACAGTGCCCCATTTCGTTATGTAATTGGGGACATGTTAGGTAATTTAGAAGAGGAGAATGATGTAAGACAGATAAATTGTTAGATTCTGCAAGAATAGAAAGTAAATATATTGCCAGTTTTTACAAGTTTTAATTGGAATATCTTCTTCGATCTATAATTTTCCACAGAAAATATCTTCCAACCCCCATCCCCTCTCGCTCTCTCACTAAACAGGAAAGGAGCAAAAAAAAAGACTGAAATTTCCAACGAGTGATAGAATCATCAGCAAGCTATCACCTGATGAAT